GTGCTACCAAGGGTGCTGAAAACAATCTTATTTAAAGGCAACACAAACTATTGGAATTACGTACTGCTGCCTGACATTAGCACTGTAAACCCTGTATCGCTAGCAAAGTCTTTCTTGATGGTATAAAGACTCTGTCATTTCTCCTTTTTCAACATATACTCACAACTGGTATGGGGGCAGAAATGGTCTTATTTTTTTGCCTGCCACTCTTCTTGACTTGATTTGTGTTCTGGTGGGGTTAAAAGTTGGTGTACTGAATAGCATTTAATGGGGTGGAACAAGGTAGGCAGGAAGGGTCGTGGGAGAGTTGGGGGATGAATGGTTGTTTTGGAATGGGCTTTTCTGTTGGTTTCGGTTTGGTTTTTTTTGAAAAAGGGGTTTACGGCATCCTCCCAAGAATCTCGGGTCTAGTTGTGTCCATGAGTCTGGAAATGTCTCTCAGCTGACTGCCCTGCTGTGAGACCCCTCGGATCTCTGCTCCCGCCTGCATCCTCGTAGGACATGCAGGGGCTCACGTGCATCGTGGGCTCTATCGTAAGTGCTGATATGGCTCAGATTTGTGTCTGTTGTAGCAAAGAACTCATTTGTTTGCACTTGAACCGAAGTGTGGCATCCACATTTTGATTCTCCTTTTAGATCTTCTTTATATCGTAAGACTAGGTAAACATATTGGGGACCAAGGCTTAACTGTGTTAGCCAGTGTGCAAAGATACAAGCAGCCTGGTCAATCTGAGACCTTTGGCTAGCGAAAGAAAAACAAAGAAAGAATCCTGTCTTTCCCTTCTGACTCCAGAGCTCCCTGTTGCTGTAGCACAGGAAGGAACTGCAGGCTGCAGATAGTGATTGCACAGTCACTTAAAGTGCAGTTTACTAAGAACAAGCTTAAAATAATCTTTTCTTGGTCAGGTTGTTTTTCACCAAGTCCACTTCCTATCATTGCGGAGCAGTTATTTCTGTAATCTTACAGCTACAAGCGTTTTTTGTAAAACCTTTCATTGTGCAAAAACTACAGTAGTATATGCTTTATGTCCTTCAGGGAAAGCTTGCATGGACTAGTGGTTGCTCAGGGTTTTTCTTTAGACTTTAATTTTTTTCATGCAGTGCTTTCACTGAACTGTGCAAGCAGGGTAGGTGTTCCTGTAACAGGGGACACACATGAAATCTGTCCTGTCTGTCAAATGAATCATGCAAGTCAGTGCACAAGAAAAATAAGAATGAAATAAAATCTGTGCCGCTCTCCAGTAACATAGCACTTAGTTTGCCAGTAATCACATGGTAATTGCCTCTGTGTGTGTGTGTCTAAGTGTGTAAAAAAATTATCAGTCTGCAGTAACTCATGGCACAGCTCCGTATCTTATCATCTTGTCATCTAGTGATACATTCATGGTTTATTAATATACGTAAACTAGGTCAGGGATGGAACAGTAAGAGTGCAGATCACTGCTAAATAAATATATATCCATACAGCAGATGCTGTACAGTTTTGTCTTATTTTGCCTCTGGCCACAGCACATTTAGCAATAGGTAACTGCCAAGTACTTGCTCTGTGATTTTCTTTTAAGGAGACTTTTATATTTTCACAGGAAAGGGCAAGACCTGTCGCTGTTTTGTCATCTTCAGAGTATGGGAGACGCATAAATAAGCCCATAGAGGAGCCGATCAGAGATCATGCAAGGATTAATCATGTGCAGGCAGAATTCTACAGGAAAAATGGCATCACCTGCTTATTGGAAAAACCTTCTCCAAGCCTGGATCCATGCTAAATCTCTTGTATCTGTCATTGCCAGCAGCATTTATGTGGAAAAAAAAAAAACCAACCCACCCAACTCGCATCAAAAGCAATATGGTGCTTTTGCTTTTTCCTCTCCATTTTAGCTAATGATTTGGATTAAAAATAGGATGAAATAGCAGCTGTACTTTTCCTCATGCTTATTCAAATGCATGTCTTCTCCTTACAGTCACATAAAAATCTCATGAAGAGCAGGCTCAGCAAGAGCTGAACATTTTAGGTGGCAACACTGGAAGTGAGACCTGTTAGGTCAACAGCTGTCTCTCTGCAGTTTTAGGCAGTGCTTCTATGTAACTATTCACAAACTTAACATTTAAGCAAGCTTGCTCCTCAGCATATTAGTGGTCACTGACTCGTTAATCCTTACAGTGTTGCTACAGAATTGTGAGGTGTCATTCTATCTGCTCAACAGCTGAAACGGCTTCAGCACAGATTTTCCAAAAGGGATGGGCTTACCCATAAATGGGCAAGTAAAGAAATGCTCTGACTTCCAGAAGTGCTTAGCAGTTTCAGTAGACCTCAAGTGGAAGGCAAGTTAAAGGGAACTTCTGCGTACTTGGCATTTAAAAAGACAAAATCTAGGCTTAGCTGATTTCAGACATCTCTTTTGCTGACTTTCACAATATGCGTGGTGTCTGAGGGATTGATCTGTTCAAGAGTGTCACAACAAAAATCATCTTTGGTTCTGTATTCAATGCTGAAAAAAAAAAGTAATACTAGCAGAACAAGCACTGAATAGTTTGGTAGAAAGGATGCAAAGAACACAAGGATTTGAGCAGTAGTAATTTAAAAAGCATGTTTAGAGTAAATGTCTAAACCTGCTTAAATGTTTAGTGCCTTGTATTCTCACTGAATCCAGCATTGAAGTTTTAAGATAATTTCAGAAGGAATATCTCCTGCAGGGTATGCATCTGTTTGGTTCTCAAGAGCCATTGATCCTGCTGTTGTTTAAAGCTGAGGAAGTGTTGTTCAGAAAGGAACAACAGCCAGATGGATCATAGCAGAACAAGGACTGGAAGTCCACAGCTTTGACTGACACTGGAGTTCTGTCAGGTACTTACGCATAGGAAACCTACATCATTTGTGAACACAGTGAGCCTCCTAGTAAAAAATAATAAAACCAAAGAACTTCTTAATCTGGGGTCTGGGTAAGTAGTAAATTAGGCAATCAATAGCACTTGTTTGGCATGATGTGAGAAGCAGAGCACACAGAGTAGCCCATTCCAAGAGGTGTTTGTTACTTTCATTATTCGTGACCTGCAAGTTTCTTTATGTTCAATGAACTAGGGACAAGAAGGCAGTAACTGCTACATTCCTTTTCAACAACAAATACTTTGTTAAACAACTCCAGCAGCATTCAATGAAAGGAATCACAGCGAGAACAAAGTGAGAAGGAAATGTTTTCTAACAATACCAGAATGCTTTTTCAAAAATCAGTATCAAATGTGTGCCAGTAGAGAATGAGATTGAATATGGCCATATTCTAGGCAGGTTATTTTTAGTTTGGGACAGTCAGTATAAATTACTTCTTTTAAGTAGTCTTACTGTATTTACAAACCATCTGTGTTTGGAAAAAAACTACTGGAAATCAGATTTGTTTGACAACACCACCACCTTCTGGCGTATATGAGAAATAAGCATTGCCAGCTCACTTTCACTGTGAAGTTGTCAAAACACTGGTATGGTTTTTCCTGTTTCATTTCTTTCCTTATGTCACCCCCTTCTCTTTCAGTCCCTTCTCACCCCTCCTCACTTTTGAAGGCTTTTCACAGGTTGTTCCTCATACTGTTTGTTTCTTATACAGTTTGGAGTGGTTAACATCTCCCTCCAGTGCTCAGTTAGTGTCAAAAGAATACCTTAATGATTTCTTCTGTATTAGGGAGAAATTCCTTATAAATGTCTGCAAAGACATTTCAGTCACTCTCCTTCAATTTCTCTTTTGTTAGGATGACAACTATTAGGTTACCAACGTGCTGTAAGCTTCCTATTACACCATTGGAAAGTATCTCATTACCTCTTGGTGCCCCCGCGCCTGTCAGTGCTGACATACTACTGTGAGTAAGGGTTCTATACGTGCAGCAAATTAACATGAACAGAATGTACAGCATGATGCAATGTAGATCATATTTTGGAGCTGGATTTTGCATCCAAAGATCTCCAGGGATTGTTGGGACAGTTGACAGACACCTGCAACTCACAAATTACTAACAGTAGCTGTGGAAGGAAAAAAATGGCCATGTACTGGTGAAATATGTAGAACTTCAAGCACGTGAAAGTTTCACCTTTTTTGTATCAAAGCATAACAGTTAAAATCAAACCAGGTGATGCTGGGAATTCTTCTTTACTACTTATAAGTAATAATTCCACACAGGACAGGATGCACAAGCTAACCTGAAAATGTGTTTTACATGGCAGTTCATCAAGTATACATTATGCGATCGGAACTAAGGCCATGTTAGCTTCCCTTTGTCCATCTGTAAAGCAACATGTTGACCCAAGTTAGGGCATGCTTCTTCCAGCCGAAGCAGTTACTAGTCCCAGCTCTTGGTTCCAGCCTTCTGTCAGAATTTATACTCATACATAAAAAAGGACCACATAGGACATAGTTCTGAGCTTCAGAGCATAACAAGTTTCAGTTTAGGCTGGAATGGCAGGCTGTAAACTGAAGGAACTCTGGAGTGTATTCATGACCCCATTTGGACAGTTTAGCTAGAACTGCCACCAAAGACAAAACTACAAGTAGTACAGACCCAGAACATCGGGCAGCCCCCACAGAGACAGCTGTGCAAGTCCACTACCCTGTGGCAGCTGTTCTACAAAGTAAGTAAAGCATATCTTTTTATTAAAAATGCTCTACTTTCTGTAAGGCATTGCTGTTTAGTGAACAGCACTCTACATCTCTTAAGTATGAGCAATATATCAGTACTGCTTGTGCAGCTACTCTAAATTTTAGTTTTATGAAACACTTGGGAAATCACACCAACAGCTGTGAGTAAATTGCACAATTTCTTTTTATATTGTCAAGAAAAGCCCTGATGGGTAGGCAGCCTGGCACATTCTGTACATTCAGACTGGCCAGTATCTTTGAATAGTCACAGCTGTCCATTTGCAGTTGTGAGTTAGAACCAGTGAAAACACAAAGGAAATGCAGCACTGACTGTCTGGCACTTACATCTGTTAACTTACAATAAATATTGACACAAAACTTAAGAAAATATGTTGTTCTTTATTACTCTTTACATGTCAATTGTTCCAAATATTGGAAGGTCTCACATTCAGAAGCTCAAATTATCTTAGGTGGAGTTATTTAGAAAACAGAATTGTTCTTCCACGCACAATATGTACACTTTATAGTACAGGAGGTCAACCTGTGATTTAGTATTATTCTCCAATGTCAGCAGCTGAGTCCGTATGTATGAGGAAAGATTTTTCTGTGTAGATAGTCTGCCATTTTTCTGCAATTTTGTAGACTCTCGATCTCAAAAAATGGAATCTGGAAACAGAAGAAAAATGATTGGTGGAAATACGTTTTAATAAATAACTGGGTAAGATTGATGTTCATTAAGCAGATATAAAATTACACATCAAAGATTTGTCTGTTTTAAAATTAAACATTTAATCCTAAGCTTATTATTGATCTGTAAATCACCTGAATAGAGATTACTGTAAAACAGAGTGATACCCATTACAGTTTAAACTAAGTTAAGTATAATGGAGTTAGGCTCATGTAATAAGTGATTATAAATGGAAAAGAAAATCTAGAAGTAACTGTTTTGGTCCAAAGTATGTTTAAAGATAAAAATACCCCTATTAGTTCAACAGCAAAATAAAGGATATACTCTCTTGAGAAAATACTATTTACAATACAAAGCAGTTCCTTTTTTTTTTTTTAACTCCTCTTTTTAAACTCCAAATTCAGGCCTTTTTAAAAAAGTATTTAATTAAAAATTGCAATTCTACTGAACTCTTAGACAACATTTTCCTTTAAGTCAAGATTTGAACCTTAATCACTGCAGAGAAGTACTCTTTCAAGCAGTACTCTTTCCACTCTTTGGTGGAAAGCACAGGCAGAATACACTAACTGATCCAAGGAAGAAAATGGAATTTCCGTAACACCCTCAAAAAGGCAAAACCTAGGCAGAGAGAACATACTATAGAAAGGACAAGACTACATCTGCTTTGGGAAGTAATTGGAACTACAGTTTTAAGCATCATAAAATAATCATTTTTCACTTGTTTTGCTAACCAGAGCAAAAGCAAACCACTGTCTTTGGACTTTACCTGCACAACTTCATAACCAAGTAACCGAAGATGTCTCTGTTTAATAGCTTCTTCTCCCAACAGATTGTGGCTATTAATGCAAAATCTGCTTTGACCATCAACACAGAGGGCAATTCTAAAATAAAAAAAAAGTGTAGTATCAAAAAAAATAAAACCCAACCCAAAACTCAGTTATTTTAATCACCACAACTACTGCAGTTCCTAAGAAGCATGAGACAATACCTCCCCTCTTACTCCTTAATACCTCCTAGAATTAGATGTTGTAGGATGGGAGTTACCTTGTTCAGGACAATTTAAATCGCTCAATTTAAGGGTGGGAAGGGGAAAGCCTGAAACCTAGTAAAATTGATCTTAAAACCTTATTTATATGCTCTGAACAAAACCTACCATAATAATAAGAGTTTGATATTTTTAATGCTACTATTGGTAAGCTGTTTTGAATTCTAGATGCAAAAACATACAAAATACTTGTCTCAGCTTGAAAACATTTCAGAACCTAAATTTATTCAACTTATTAGTCTACTTGTTAAACCTGTTAGAGTTCAAGTTAACTTTAAGTTTAAGCTAAATCTGCTTAAACCTGTACGTATGGTTGGCAGCATCATGGATTACAACTATATTTTCTTCTCCTTGGTGATAAAAATCACATCAACTTAAACCAAAATTTGTATATCCACTGTAAAAAAAGTTCCTTAAATTTTCAGCATGTTAAGGATATTGTGACCTTATTTACACATGAAAGGTGTAATTTAAAAAAATCAAAGCCCATTCTTAAACATTTAAGCATGGGATTTTTGAAAGAACTTATATTAGTCTGTGAGTCTTGTGAAGGTTAAGCTGGAGAACACATAACCTTTTCAAAGACTTTTGCTTTATCCACAAAATTGCAGTTTCAAATACAAAGTTAAGCAACCTGCCAGTGTGGTATCCAAGGTTTCTCAAAGTAATCTTTGTTTCACATATTTTTTTTAAACACCTATGCATTTTTCAATAAAAAACAGCATCTATAGCAAATACCCTCGTTACACAGGATTCCTTACAGAAGTACATTTGTGAACTCAAACTGGCTTGAACTGTGTTAAATCTATGCAGACATGCTCAACTGGAATTAATTTAGTTTTAATTTGAAAATTAATTACAGAAGATCAAAATACACTACTATAAGCCAAATCAGGATCACTTTGATCCTGATTGTCACTGGGTAGAGAGACTAATTGTCTGACACCGTATAGTTAGGAAGCGAAACAATGAGGAAAAAGTACAGATCATTAATTTTGCCAACTTTGCCCTTTTGCCAGAGGTTTCAGTGTGAAACCTGAACTTTGTTGAGGTCAATGGCAAAACTCCAATTAGCTTAAATTTTAGCCGGGTTTCACCCCAGATGCTGTTTGTCAACGTTAACCAACATTTTACCAGTGGTTTCTTTTTTTTTCCTTACCGTCTGTGTACCTCTTCACATTGGGCAGCAGGCAACACAAAACCTTCTTCATCTAATTTAATCTCAATATCTAGCATAAATGAAAAGAGAAGTGACATTAAAACTCATTTCACATAACAAACTGTTTACTGTAATTCTCATTCTCTTAACAGTTCATTGTTTTATAAAAATAACTAAAATACTATCGCAATACTTTTTGCTGCATCACAGAGGCTTGCAAAAGATATGTATAGACTATTTAACACAAATGAGTGATAATTAGTAACACTTCAGCCTCTCATAATGCTAACAGCAAAGTAGCGTTCCAAGTCCACTATAAACCATATTGTCGTTAAATGGCACTTTGCTGGGCTAGCTAGGGCCTCTGGAATTTTGAGGGCTTTGGGGAGAGACTGTCTCTCTCTGCCCCTCCCCTTTATTTTTTCTAATTCCCTAATTTTATCGATGATGTCCATCTGCAAACAGAGCTTTGGACCTAAACCCTGCCAACTTCAACCCCATACGGAAGCTGAAATGCAGAATAATTCTGGAATCATCCCTCTGTGGATGTGTTTTTTGTTTTTAATCCCTCCGATGTCCATGGGGTCCAAGAGACCCTTCCCTCAACACCTTATTTATCATCTACCCCTCCTGAGCACACATCTTTCCTCATCATTACCTTCTCTCTGTTTCCTTCCCTGGCATGTGAAACACTCCATTTTCCTCACTCCTCTCTTTCAGTCCACAAACCCCCACTGACGATACGTAGTCAATAGTTCTTGCTAAGGGGAGAGGAGCCCAGCTGAGCAGGGCAGAGGGCTGACAACCTTCCAGTTCTTCCTTTCTCTACTCACCACCAAAGCAGAGAGATCAGGCAAGTGGTGTTGCCTCATTTTGCTTTCAATTATACAAGTTGTTTACGGGATAAGTAAAAGAGGAGCTGATAGCAAAAATACACAATACAAAAGTTAGCAGCTATTTTCAATGCAGACTGGCTGTGTAAATTCCAAGTAACATTGCAGTTCTTTTGTCTCCCTGTTCTTTCTGCCTTTGAAAATGCATTTACTTAAAGTTCCCATGATGTTTCCTCATTTCAGACCTTCTACAGAGTTTTGTATTCCAGTTTACTTTTTCTGTATTTGCTCAACTTAGAATGCCCACAAAGGGAATAAAAAAAATAATTTTTATTTCTGGAAAATAACTGAGCCTAAAGTTTTGACACCATAAGCACACGTTTTATTATTAGTCTAAAGAAATGTTACTTACCAACTGTATAGAAATATGGTGTTGATACCTCTGATGCAAAATATATTCTTTTTTTCAGCAAACAAAGTAATCCAGTCTTCACCCTTTTGAGGAGGTGAACATCCAGAGAACTGTGAGGTCTGAGAAAGGCCTTTACTTGATACTTTGGAAGGAGTTTGGGACCCTACATAATGACAGAAAACCAAATCAAACAAAAGAAAAAGGGAGATAACATTTTTGTAATTACCACATATTAACGTAGCAAATGTATTCTGTGCATTTCAAAGCCATGTCTATTGAGACACTTACAGTCTGAGGTATGATCCGCTGGAAACTTAAAAAAAAACCCAAACAACCAAACCACAAAACCCAAACAACCACCAGAACATCCTCAGCAAGCTTCCACACTATCACGCTGAATATATCACTCATGAGAAACGCACAACTGTTTCCATTCCTCTGCAGTCAGGCCAACATCCAAGTGCCTGATCTCTTTTGTGCTGCAAGACGTCACAAGCCAAACATAAAAAGGAATAGTTGTTGGAAAAGTACTCGGAAATACACAAAAAGCACTTTAACTTAGAGCTAGTCAGTTCCATCAAACATACAAATATATTAAGTCAATCAAACAGGTAGAAATGCTTCATATTTTCATCAAGGAAAAAAAAAAAAGCTGTTTCATCCAATTCCAATGCTTTTATGGGGAGGACAGTCCTCAAGTAATTATCAGCAGGGCCCTAATGACCTTATCACCTTTTGTTAACATCAGTTCTGGTTTCATATGTGCCATACCTCATAAAATGGGCACTCCAGGGTTACAGTCAGAAAAAGCTGGGTTAGCTGGGAGGTAACAGTTCTGTCCAAACCGGGTGGCTGGGCTGAAACAACAATATACAGGCTTTCAGGTGTACCTTTAACAACACATCTTTACACAAACCATCATGCAGAAGTTAGGAAAAGCTATTCAGTTTAACATACAGAGAAGCTACTCGATCATTATCATGCCTGATCACTGTTTGAATGAACAGAAAGACCAGTTGTGAAATGACGTAGTTAGAAAAATCAGGACATGACTTACAGAAACATCAACATAGAAAAAAATATACAACTAGCAAGATCTCAGTTAAGATTGTCGTATTCTCTCGGGGCGGGGGGAAGAGGTTCCAAGAGATGCAGGACATTATACAGGGAGAAATATGTTTGAGTTGAGGTCTTGGAGAAATTTCCCATTTCCTTCTTCCTACAACCCCTTCTACCCAAGTTATAATCCCAGGATCTCATTGTTTCACTAAGGTTTGGTGGTGGGTTTTTTTTCCTGAAAGTAGTGGATAATACTGAATAATTTACGGAGGTTTGTCTACAAGCGTGTATACTTGAAGCATCTTTCATGTTATGTGCAAAGTATTATTACAGAATGGTAAAAACCTGATGTAGTGTAAGATGCTAAACATGCAGGTCATCTTCTCAAGTTTCTGTTCTGAACTTAGACCACTCTAGTGGAATACCTTTATTGATTTAAAAGAACATATTTGAAGTAACTGGTACTATGATGTTTCTCATTTTGTAAGTATCAAGCTTGAGAACTTCAAAAGACATGTTTTTTTAGGACATGAGGAATGTCTGCTTCCTAAAAATCAACCCCTTAAGGTATTTCATGTTGAACAGCTAAAAACTGAGTGACCAAAGTTTCTAATCACTTTGAAAACTTGACCTTATATAGAGTTTTATTAACAGAGAAACCTTAGCTGAGATCTTGAGAAGTCACTCATCTTTCTGGCACAGCTTACATATCCCTATAATGCTGCTAAATATGCTTTACTATCTAACACAGAATTACTTAAAATCTATAGCTTACAACTGTGTTGTTTGTAACAGGTTTGCATCCAAAAGCATTGGATCATGCAATAGTTAGAGCCGAGGACAGACTATCACATGGGGGATGTTCTAGAAGCTTACTAGACTGGGGAGAAAAAAAACAATTAGGTGAAGGCAGCCCTTGCAGACAAGACAGTCTTAGAAGCAGTGGGTGAGCAGACTCTGGGATCGCCTAAGCAAGATGGGATAAATCATGGGGTAGATTTTTAAATTTCGTAATGTCTTCCTCGGTATGGTGGGACATAGGGCCAAGGATGGGACTATAGTGCTTGCACAGAGGCAGAGAGGAAAGGAGCTCAGGGCACTGAACAAAGATGGGCACAGGAAGCCTCCACCAGCGGAGTGTAGTCAGCAGACAGGATGCCAGTGGGAAGAAGCATCACATAAGCGTATCAGATTCTGGATTAAAAGTAATTTAAAAAACAGAACGAAGCACCAATCTTTATGCCTTGTTAAAACATACGTGAGCCTTAGGATTCAATTTACATTTTTTACCTAGATAATTAAAAAAAAATACCAGCTCATATTATGACACTGTTACATTTTACTGGTTCAGATCTCACTTCTGTTTTAATTGAGCCAACAATTATGCACTGCAAATTAATTTTTTCAGCTTTATCCATCTACCCTTTTCAACTTTCACAAGAAACAATATGAAACAGAAATACAACCAAGTTGGAAGCAAGAATATAACACAATAATCCTTATCCTGAAAGAACAGAAGAGTAGAGATGACAGCAGAAGTCCATACCTGGTTTGACCTTACCCCCACCTGAAAAGCTGTATACAATGCAGGCTGGCAAAAGGTAAGGACTAAAGTGCTAGAATCACCTACATGCAATGGACCTTGTTTGAATCATAAGGCAAAACAGTATTTGAAAAACACATTTTGTACTGCCTGAGATTTACAAATTCTGTGTATATAATTGTAACACGTTCTTATCAATAATAGTAATTTAAATTCTTTTTGCCCCAAGGCTACACTTCACCTCACTTCTCTCTAGAATTTGTACTAGTCTTGACTAAAGTTTATAAGGATTTTTGGACTATTTTTTAAAATACAACAATGAATTATTTCCATAGTAATAGGTGAGCTTGCTAGTAACACAATAATAAGTAAGCTGTGGAACAGTTACTGTAACTTTTCTTGCATATTATAATTTGGTCCCACTTTTAAAGGCTATGAACAAGTTTTCTGACAACTACGATCATGTACTTTTCCCTGAGAGCCTCAAGAAGAGAGTGGTTTCAATGCTTAGGAAAATATCCAGAAATAAGGATTATGCAAAGTCACAGAGGACCTAACCTTAAAAAGACAGGCAGTGAAATCTTAATCTAACCAGCAGTGCACAAGCAGAAGGTAATTATTTTAGCTTCGCAATAAGTACTACTAGTATTTCTATTGTTTTTTTAAATACTTCCTCCCTTGGGCTAGTCCTTGAGTAAAACGCCTAAGAGCCAGTCCCGACCCTACGGAGTATGAGATCAAAGTGGGCAAAGCAAACAATTGTGGGCGAAGAAATAGATACAAAAAAGTGAAGTGACTTGCCCAAAGCTGCAAAGCAAATGGGGGGCTACACCCAGAATAAAAGTCAAGTCTCAGGACTCACTATCCAGTGTTCCACCTTTATGCCACATCCCTCGTGTGGCAGTCATTACAATGCAAAAATTTAGAGAAAAATGAACCCTGAATCACTACACTATATTTTACATCACTCATGCATCATTCCAAGTATCACTGCCATTAAAAATTCTACCACTTTTGGTCTCAGTCTTGTTCGTTCCATAATAACTGGTCTCACTAGCCTTCCTGACGTTACCAGTCTCTTAGTAACATAGTCTCACTTCATTGTGAGTATTCACATCTGTCACCGCATAGGCACAGAAGTTTAAACAGCCAGAGTTAAAAGTAACACATTTCCTGCACAGAGAAACTTGGTGTCTAAAACCTATGCGAGACCAAGGACCAACATGGGGAAAAACAGAAGATCAGTATTTTTTAGAAAAGCAGACGGATTAACTGAAATAGTTTTTTTTAAGGGAATTCAAATCTCTGTCTAAGATTGTACAGTGCAAATTTCAAACTCCTCTAAACAATATAAACTGAAAGACCACTGCAACTGTGACAAGGAAGCAGCAGTCTTTGCCCTCCTGATCATCATTCTCCAGTCACCTTCATCAGGTCATTGTTGATTTGACAGATGAAAGATAAGAAAGGGGTGCTTGACAAGAGACACACCATGCAATAGAAAGAAATGTGGAACATCACAAGAAGAACACTGCTCCTTACCTTGAAGCTGCTGCAGAAAATAGGGACTAAATATTTTTGGCAGAAAATTTACTGGATAACGTTGAATAAGGACACAGGAGTGCAGCAGGTTCAGTAAGGTGTGAGGCTGAAAGTGACTAAGGCGAGCATGCAATACTGTTTCAAGCTTCTGAAACAAGGCAGAAGCACTTGGAGGCAGATAGTTAAGAGTCCCAAATGGTATAATATACCCAGCAATCTGGTCGGTGGTAAATCTGTCAGCATCGGAAATGAAACCTTCTGCCGCTGCATCAAAGATGGGTTTAGAAAGGATCATCTTTTGGCAGCAGTACTGCATGATTTTGCTGACTGTTTGAGGATGCATGGTAAAGATGGACTTGGGAACATGCGTTTCCAGTGCCTCTGTAAAAATCTGGTCACGATGTCCAAAGCATAGGAAGGCTTCCAGTACATTTACCAGTTCATCACCTGTGAAATATGGAATATGCTTCACAGAATGTCTACACAGTGCTGTGACTAAGGGAACGTCCTGAGTCTGATGAAGAACAACCAGTGAGTTCAGTATTATGCTTGTGAACTTTGGGCTTAGCTGGGAAACTATGGTTAAAGTGGCACTGTTCATTCTGTTTAGCAAGTCTTGGTATCGTTCCCCTTCCCTGGCAGTCACCTGCAGCATCTTATAAACTGTCACCATTTCCCTGGGACTCCACTTCTCAACGTCTTTTGCTTGCACGTGGTTCACAATTTGTTCCAGTGTCACACAGCTTGGGCCTTCCACCTCAAGCAAACTCTCTCCGAGAGCACACAGGTTTTTAACAGTCAGCTGTCCTTTACCAAGCCGTTCCTTGCCCTCTGAAAGCAAGCTTGCCATCAGCGTACTCTGGGGATCTATACCCAGTTTTATCAAAGCTTGCAATGCATTCAGCAGCCCAGTGTTTGACAGTTTTGAGGATTCAAATTCAAACTGGAAGCATAATGCCCTGAAAACTTCATTCTCTAACACTCCTTCATGGTTTTTCAGACCATTGTCATCCACCTCAACTTCAGAAATCCTCTGCAGGGCTCCTGAGGCCATAGTATCAGACATGACTTCCAGTGCGCTAAGAAAGTCAAAAATCTCTTTTGATGTACAAAGGCTGTTCAACTTCTTGAAAAACAGCTGTTCATCCATCCACGCGTTATTATTAGACTTAGTACTGCTCCCACTATCCCCACAAAGATGCACAGTTTCATTAACAGAAAGAGACTGTATCCGCAGTTGTACGTGGTTTTTTCTACAAAACATATACTGAGATTTATCTTTGAAACATAGCATCCTCATGGCTACGGAGCTACAGTTTTGGGGCTTTCGCTGCCCACTGATAAAGCTCAACCTTTTGCTTAGGGTCATCAAAACGGACCTGCTTGCTGGCGCGCTCGATGAATAAAACTGGAAACTTTTTCGGCTAATCAAAGCCATACTGGATCAACTGGGTTCTCAGAAGATCCCTAGAGGAAGAAAAAACCACATACCTAGTTGGGAAAACAGCACCGGCGTCATTCAGAAGCCGCAACCCCCCCTTGTAGCGGCTGGACACGACCGGGAAGACCCCTCTCCCGCGGCCGCCGGCAGAAGGCAGGGCAAGGACAAGGAGGAGAAGCTGCGGG